CTCGCTCGTTTCGAGAAACCAAACGGGAATGCATCTTCCCGCGATAGCGGGAGGATACATTCCCATTTCGTACTTCGAAACGACACTCTCTCTCTCTCTCTCTCTCTCTCTCTCTCTCTCTCTCTCTCTCTCTCTCTCTCTCTCTCTCTGTGTCTCTCTCTCTCTCTCTCGCGCGCGCGTGACTTCAGCTTTTTTTCCGTTTTGTTTTTTTTTCGTTTGTGTATTTCATTTTTTTTTTCCCTTCTTTCTGTTTTTTTTTTGTTTCTCTACTGTGTCGTCCCTACAGAAGTGGGCCCGGCGTCCGCGCTATGACCGGGCCTTCTCTTGGCCGACCCCCCTAAGGCTGCGGCGCGTATACGGGAAGGCCCGCGGCCGATAGCTGAGCGAGGTACTGGTGGTTTAAAAGCATTTGCTCTATGGGACGCTGGACCCGGTTTCCAGCACAAGCCTAAGCCGGGTAAGGGCCCTAGTTTTTCCTCCGGGTTGGCATGTCGAGTGGAGGTTTTCCCTGCCTCTTTTCTTCAAACTTGTCGAGTCGAGGTTTTCCCTGTCTTCAAATTTGAAATATAAAGCAAGTGTTTAAAAAAAAAAAAAACTGCTGCTCCCCGCATGTTCTCTCGTGAACACGGTTCTGGCTGCTACGGGGTTCCCCGTATGCCTACAACAATTAGGAGTAGTGGTAGGTAGGTAGTGTGAGGTGAAATTGAGAGAAGAACATAGAAACAAGTGACGTGGCGACATCCTTAGGCGCACCATCCAGTTCAGCCACACCACATGGGCTGGGCCAGCAAACGAGCCAACCAATCAAATTGATCAATCACTATTCCATCCAGGCGCTCGAAACGAAAAACGTTCGAGTGCATGTTCCCGCAGAAAGTGGCAATGCATCCCCTACTATGCTTAGTAATACTATGAATAGTGTGAACCAACCAATCAGTCGATCAATCACTGTTCTATCCAGCCGCTCGGCAGACCACTCCCGACAAGAAAAACGTTCGAGTGCATGTTCCTGCAGAGAGTGGCAAGATGCATCCCTTACTATGCTTAGTAAATACTATGAATAGTAATTAGTAGCACATGAGACAAGATGCATCCCTTACTATGAATAGTACCGCATGCATCTTGCGACTCTCTGGGTAACATGCACTCGAATAGTACCACATGCATCTTGCGACTTTCTGAGTAACATGCACTCGTAATTTTATCGTTCCCATACATAAACTCCTAATGGCGATGGGAGGCCCCTACAATAAATTGACAACCTTTTGGAAAAAAAAAAAAAAAAAAAAA